AAAAAAAAAAAAAAAAAAAAAAAAAAAAAAAAAAAAAAAAAAAAAAAAAAAAAAAAAAAAAAAAAAAAAATCTAAAACAGCTCTTTATTGATGAACAGACTGAAAGAACTCTCCATTAAAGGATTATATATATTCAAACCAATGGCCTCTTCTCTTCATCTTGTGTTTTTCCCTTCTCATCTTCTTCTCTGTGTGCTGATTTTGGTGTTCTTGAAGGCAACTTACTGTCAGGCAACATCTTCAGTACAATTCCCATGGCTATAAGCAGCAACCCACTCCCATGCTGTTCTGTCATTGGCTTGGTGAATATCAGGTATGAAAGTAGAAGAGTCACTGCTTTTCTTGCTGTTGTTATCTGCACACGTTAGTAAACGATCATAACCCGAACCTGGTTGGTTAACGGTAAAACCCATTGTTTGAACGGTACGATAGAACTCGAAGAAGAACATACCATTGCGGTTGTGGCAGCGCCAAAAATGGCAATTAGAGACAGAACCGACACTTGACCAACGAACGTCGCCATGGCTTCGAACACCAAGACTCCGTAGACATACGGGTGCTGCGATACATTAAGAATAAGTCAAGATATGAGATAAGAGCAGATGTTGACTAAGTTGCAGACAAGACATGCTAACCACAATGAGCTAAACAATGGATAGTTGACTATATAAACAGTTGACTTATAGGAAAAGAAGAAACATGGAGGCAAACATCAAACAAGAAAGTGGAAGACATTAACAGAGTTGGGTGAAGGTAGTTACTTCAGCACAGGAAGTCCAGGCACGAAAGAGCTCTCCCGTTAGCACCATCGGTACTACTAAGAAAGGGAGGCCAACTACGGTCGAGCAAAACAACATCTCGGTCTGCCAAAGACAATATCAAAAGGTTATATCAAGAATCGAAACAGGTTAGGAAATCACAACTCTCCACAGTAGTATGATATTGTCCACTTTGAGCACAAACTCTCACGGGTTTGCTTTGGGCTTCCCCGAAGGACCTTATACTAATGGAGACGTATTACTTACTTATAAACCTATAATAATTCCCTAAATTAGCCAACGTGGGACTCCCTCCCAACAATCATCAACAAAATGACAGTTGTTTCACGATACAAACATCTAGCACGCTTCTTGATCGAATTGAATACAGAGAAATGATAATCAAACGTAGATTTACGAACGCGATTGAAGCTTACCTGTGTAGTATCAGGATTCATAGTAAAAATGGCTTCCTGCAAATTTCCAAGAAAGGCGTCCATAACAAGAGCGCCGCTTATCATAACAACACCAAATATACTGAAATTTGGAGAAGTCTGTGCATCTGCTAAGGTGAAGAGAATCAATCCAATCACTAATAGAAGAGCAGAGATATACTCATGAAGAGGGTATTTCCTTCTCAACCCAGGAATGAAGGCTCCCATTATCATAACAGGAAGCACCTAAAGTTTTACAAAGCAAAAGGGTCAATCTAAAATCGCAAAATCTAAACATATCATTGAAAATCTCAACAGGGTTTCCTGATTGAACACATGCCTTGGTAGATTTGAACATAATTTGTGCTGGATAATTCAGAAAAGCCAAGGATCCTTTGGTTAAGCCATGAGATCCCATAAGAACAGCTGAGAGCTTCACATATGTCTTCCATGGGTTAACCATTTGCTTGGTTGTGAACCCTTGGAGATAAATGAGAGCCAGATAAACAAAGCCTTGCACAAATGTGAAGTACCACCCATAACTACAGAACTAAAAATTGGTAAGAAAAGGGATTCAGCATAAAAGCACAATAACTCGATTGAAACAAAAAGATAGATTAATACCTGAATTTAAGACGATTATACACATATTCCTGCAAATCAAGAACACCCATCATGAAAAGACTCAAAACAAAGAAACCCCAAAAGAAGATTGAAAGAAACAAACCTCGCAAACGCCATTAACAAGGTAGCCAAAGAAAAACCCAGAAGAGCAAATGAGAAACTGCTGCCATTTGGGTCGATCAGTGAGCGAAATCCCAAACAGGGACCTCGCTTGATCTTCGTTTTTCATCTTCCACAAACGTCAACGTTGCAAAACAAAGAAACCCCAAGTTTAATTCGTTTAAGTCGCTGGAAATGTTTCTTTAATTTGAAAAAGTAGTATCAGTTACATTAAGAAGAAAGGAATCGGAACAGAGGAATCAAAGGTAGTATCTAATTTTATCTATTTTTTTCGTTCTCTGCGTCTCTGTAAAGAGGCGTTGAGAGGCTTAAGACACACGTAGAAACGATTGCGCGACGCTTGTGGGTGGGCCTCGCGGTCTCTTGTAAAGCTGCCTGCGACTGGAAGGAACCGGGTAAGAAAGGAGTCGGAGGGGGTGTGAAATTACGAATATGGGTTTTTGTTACACGGCGTGTCTTTCGGTTTGGCTTCATATACCACCGATTTTTTTGGCAGAAATTACAGAAATGGCCTCGCCGGGGAAAAAGTCTTGGGATTATTATTATTATTATTAATTTTCAAAATCAGGTGGGCTGTTTCGGTGATAGTTCGGCAGCCGCCTGTGAAATTGCATGGCCGAGTCGCCGTCGCTTTGGAAATTAAGAAATATATTTTAATATATATAAAATCATCAATATATTTTAGAAAATTCTTAATTTGATAATTATACAAAATATTTTAAATTTGGTCATTTTTAACCTCGTTGACTTGTGTCTATTAGAGCTACACATGCCCACTCTAAATGAGGAGAGAAATGTCATTTTAATTAGCTAGGACAAAATTATATTTTTTTCGTCCTCGTCTCCACCTTTGACCCATCCAAATATTTGTCCCACCTCACTTAATAAATAAATAAAGTTTTTTTTTTAAATGTGGAGAACTATAGTGTAAATTTATCGTTATATTATGCTCTTTTGCTTATATAATATTATTGGATTTATTAGGATATTTACCTTTTTTTTTAATAGAAATTATATTAAAAAATAGAAAATATCATGGACGGTTAAAAAAATATATATAAAAAAAAAAAAAAATCCTCGGAAGAAACTCAATCTTCAAGAATTCTTTGCAGAAAGTCTCTATCCCGAACCCTAAGTAAATAAATGAGAATAGTAATAAGAGGTGATAACAAAGACAGTAAAGGTTTCTCGTCTTGTCCCGTACTATAGACATCTCTAATTCAAATCATTAATTTATTCATATTTCAATAGAATTTTTTACTTTATTTGGTCATTTGCTTAACTTATTTACTAATTTATATTGAGTTTTTAGTCGATTATAGAAAATGATAGGTTAGGAAAACAATATAAATTTAAAATATAATTGACTAAATCAAGAAAATCCATTATATTTTGCATTTAGTTTAAGATTTATTCCAAATTAAATTGGAATCAATTATGAAATTTCCAAATAGGGTAGAAAATCCCATATTCATCCCCAAATCCAAATCCCATATTCATCCCCAAATCCCATATTTAATTAATATGATTTTATTACGAGTGATTTAAGATGATAGCTGTGACACCCGAGTAAAAAAAAGAGTATATGAATGAGAGTGATTTCGAATATAACATAGCTAAAAATGACTTAATACAAGCAACGTATAATTTCATTAAGATTTATAAAATTTAGTTTGAAAATTTAAAAGAATTATACTTGAAAGTATATTCTACGCAAATATCGGGTATGGTTGAAGACATTTTAGCGTTCTATTACGATTTACCATAGATATCATATTTGAATTTTTATTATAGAGACAAATATTTTGTGGGGTTGATATCTGTTTATTATAGGCAAATTGGTTGAGGATATGTACATTATTATAAATAGACAACTTTGACTACGGTTTGATTGTTGTAGTTTTAGTAAATATTCTCATGCTATTAGAGTGGTTCGTTTCGTAACCCTGATCTTTTTTTTTCTTCATGGCTTATGAATCCGCTTATCATCTTTTTTCTTTCAACACTCTAATCCATATGATCACCATCAAGCTTTTTTCCTCAAATTATCTTATTTGGAAAACCCAACTTCTCCTTCTTCTTGAGAGTCAAGACATGTTGGGCTATGTTGATGAAACTCTGGTTTCACCACCTCGCTTTGAACCAGAAACCTCTTCAACACTCAGTACCAAATATTTGGCGTGGAAAGCAACCGATCAATGACTTCTCTGTCTTCTACTCTCCTCTCTCACCGAGGAAGTCATTGTTTTCGTCATTGGCCTCTCCACTGCACATGACGTTTGGCTTGCGTTGGAGCTAGGTTTAGCCATCATTCAAAAGTCTTTGAACTGAGACTCAAGGATGACTTACAACTGATGAAACGCGGCACCAAATCTATTGCTGAATATGTTTATACCTTCAATACAATATGTGACCAACTTCATGCTATTGGCAGATCAGTCAACGACATTGATAAAGTGCACTGGTTCCTTCGTGGAATCGACGCCGATTTTTCAACTTTTTTTTATTGATCAAATGGCTCTCACCCCTTTTCCATGTTTTGAAGATTTAGTCTGTAAAGCTGAAAGTTTTGATTTGTTTCAACTCTCCCTGAAATCTTCTAACTCCACTTGTATGACATTCAGAGCCATCAATTGTGGTCACACCTACAGAAGTCACCATGCATCATATAGCAACCAGCGAGGTCGATTTCATTTTCACAACAACAACTCTTTCAACCGAGGACGAACCCACTCGGGTCAAGGTCGTCGACCACCTCGCTGCCAAATATGTCGCACGAAGGGCCATTATGCTGACCACTGCAACCAACAATATGTTTGAACTAATTTTGCTCATGCTCACCTTGTTGAAGCTTTCAACTGATCTTGTTCTATTGCTGGACTTGAGCTGCTAATTCATTTTTGAACACTAAAGTTTCGGTCCATATGACTGTCGATCTATTATTGTGGATTAGTCTAATAAAAGTGTGTCACTCGAGTAAATCGAGGATATATAATTTTTTTTCAGACTGCAATAATTTTTTTCTTAAATTATAACACAATTTTAAGGCTTTGAAGCTACTAACAAGATTTTAAGTCCAAACCCATATTTACAACAATTTATTCATTTAAATAACAACAATGAACCAAAAATCAAATTAAATAAGAAAATGAAAAAATCAATTCCAATTTCATTGAGATTTATGAAATGCAGTTTGAAAATTTAAAATCCTAGTCAGCAGCCAAACCTACTTGCCACGTATTACAATGGCTACACCGCCATAATTCAATTCAAAATTCCCTTTTTTATCCTTTCTTCTACTCAGACAAGTAGATTTGGCTGCTAATTAGCTCCAAAAGAACGGGAACAACAATAATCCAAGATGCTAGGAGAGGTCGATTAATAGCTCATCAAACAAAGAGATCCAAACCTCAGCTTCAAACTCCGCCGCCAACTCTTCCTTTTCTCCGCCGACACTTCTCCATTTTCCGGCAATCTCCATGTCCTTAATGTACAAAACCCGTCCCTCCGGCGTCTCCCATCCCGTCACCATGGCTTCTCCGGCATCCCCATTGATCCAATCTTCAGTGAATTTCAAGACCTGTGCTTGATCAATATCAGCTCCTGTTCTTGCAATTGCGTCGTTTTCTTCGAGCTTCTCGTGGAAGAAATCGAGAAGCAGATTCTCTGTCGATGTCGTAGTTGATTTGACGAGCTTTAGAAGCTCAAATGCTTTCTGTTCCCTTTGGTGTTCTTTTCTTGAGATTAAGCTGAAATGTTGACTACCAACAACAATGTCTGCAAATCGTTTCTTTAAGTCTAGAGGTTCAAATTCGACTCCATTCTCGAATCGCTTCGACTTTTGTGCATGTAGCTTCTTGCCTGTGTCAAAAGTAATAAAACCGTATTGAGACATTTGTTAGACCCAACTCAATTGTTCATAATCTAACTGAAACCGTATCGGTCGAGTTGGGTTAATCAAATATTTTTAATACTCCTAATTAAAAGTTTCGAACTATGAATTTTTCCACGAAATATTTTTTAATTAAAAGAAAATAGTCGGATGATAATCTCATACGGCCAAATACTCGAGAAAGCTATTATCGGTCCTAAACGTTCGGGATTAGGGACAAAATTGAAAATATATAATTATCCTAGAGAGAGAAGAGGAGAGAGAGACCTTGGACGAGGTGAAGATTGCAGTTGAAAGACGAGGGGGTGTCTTGATCTTCATCTTCAAAAGGAAAATCCAACACTGAAACTGGACTCAACTGTTCCTTTTCTTCTTCATTTGGCCATTGCTGTTATGATCAGAAATAAACACAAATATTACAAATTTACATACAAAAATAAAATAAAAATTTCATTTTTTATTTTAAAAAATTAACCAATTTGAAAATAGGAAAAAACAATATAACTTCTCAGTTATAACATCTCTTAAAAAAACAATAGATAATGTTTATAAATAAAAAATGTCACAAAATAGATAATATTAGTAAAATAATAATAATACAATAAAAGACAAAAGGAATGCCCTTTTTTTAAAATAATAATTTGGTTTTTTTATTTTTTTAAAAAAGAAAAAAATCCTAATGATTTTCTTACCGACACATATAAAGCCAGCAGATGACAGACCAATAATATTAAAGATTAGTTTTCAATGGAATGGCATTAATAGTAAATATCTTCAAAAAGTTAAGACATGGGGGAAATCTAGTATCACGCGTACCATGAAATAGAAAGGTGTTGCAGGTTTGAAAGCCGTAGATCACGCTGTATGGACACATGGCGAGATCTGAAGCCTCGAAGAACTCGATTTATTTAATTTGCGTGATCCTGAGTTGTATTTTTACTTTTCCCAAGATATACCCCACACGTGAAATTAATAAACTCCCGCAGTCCAGCTGTATTTTCTCTATGTATTATTTTATCTACGCTAACTCTATAATTTAATTTTATGAATATTTTAAAAATTATTTTGAAAGACCAATTTTCTCCCGAAATTTAATTAAAAAATAAAACAATTTTAATTTAAAATCAACGGTGGAGATCGAATGGAGATATCAATCAGAGACGGTTATCAAATGCACGCAAAGCATGTGATTGAAAACTAAATCCTGACCTTAACGATATCCTCTCGGAAACCGGTGGTGGTAGGGGTGGTGGGGGTGGCGGCGGAAGGGGCGGTGGTTGTTTCCTCCATGGAATCTTTACCGAATGTTACGCCATCTCTTTTGCCAATGAGATTACCAGGTGAATCCTTATCGACTTTAACGGCGTCGTTTTCGCTGCAACTCTCGGAGTTACCGCTCGAAGACGACGGAATCCTCTCCGATGTAAATTCGCTCTCCGTCCAACTGATACTATTACTACAGCTACTGATCGAGTTTCTTCCGACGACAGTCACGGCGGTGCACACAGCGGAATCGGAGCGAGACAACGGCGGTTCTTTCTCATCGAGAAATTCCTGAAACGATTTACACCGTCTGGTGTTAACATCCACAAAATCCTGTTTCTTCCAGAACGCTCGCAGAATCACCTTCCGTGAAAAACTCCTCGTACAAAACGGCTTCCGGTAAGAAGGCAACGGGAATTTCTTGAAGGCTCTGACAACGGCATCGGAGGCTCTCTGCAAAGTGGAGATCGTGGAGAGCGCGATTTTTCGGGAGGCAGTTCGAGGAAGGAATCTTTTAGTTAGGGAAGAATCTTTAACTTTGAGATCGATTTCGAGAAGAAATCGGACGGTTGTGGCGCAGCATTGGCGGCGAGGAAACGATCGGAAGCCATTGGAGGAGCAGGAACTGAAATCGTCGAGAAGATAATCCTTGAGCATGAAGGAGGTAGGTTTTTCCGGCGGAGGCTTGGAGATGATGCTCCAAGCGGAAGAATCAATGGACGCCATGAACAGAGAATTCAAATCTTAGAGAGAGAAAGGGAGAAACAGAGGATTTGAATTTGTGAAGAATGATGAGAGAGAGAGAGAGCAGAAGAGTACTAATTAGAGAGACATTCAGTACTGAGAGCATTAAAAGCAGAGTGAAGTTCCATTAATTTGATGAAGAAGATGAAGATGAAGAAGAAGAAGAAGGTGAGAGGATGGTTCTTACTGGGAGTGAAGTTCAAAAAATTTGAATCTGAAATGGAAATATATATGATTATTTTTTTGTTTTTGAATTTCAGTGAAGAAATAAACAAATCAAATATTTGAAAATTAGGGCTTGGAAATGGACATATGCGAGACCCCTAGTTGACCTTCTAAATCTAAATTCAGGAATATTATATAATTTCTTCGCTTTATTTTATACACTTTTTTACTGACTATTTCCACTCTTCACGCGCGGTACCACGTGTGCATGCATGATGCATGCTCTATTAAATAAAACCCCTTTTTTCCTTTTTTTTTTTTATTATTTATTATCTTTTAAGTGTTTCAACTAAAACTTTTATAAACCCTAAACTCTGTCTGAGTTTTTAAAATTAAAAAATGGTTTTTAATGAAGGGTAATATTGTAATTTTAAAACTTTGTTCATTGGATCATTAAAATTATATATTTATACCAATAAAGTCAAAAGAATATAATTACTAAGCTAAAAAAATAAATGAATTATTATGGGGAGACAAGAAATAAAATAGGAGGCATGAAAGGGGATGGAGCGGTTTTCGTACTTCACAACTTTTGGTCGTTAGCCAAATGACACTGTCTGTCCAACAGAAGAGCGGTTTTCGTTTTGAGGCTACAAGGGTATAATCGTAAAATCATGTTCTCCTTCCAAGGATTCTACACGGAACGGAGATGCCGTCTGCCACCTACGTGCTCCACGGTTCCAACACATAAAACGGGTTTCTTCTTTTTATTATTTATTTATTTATTATTATTCCCTTTAAGTTAAATTTCTTAGTGGATAAGGTATTTTGACTTCCTACTACTTAAAATAAATAAATAAATAAAATAACTAAAATAAATGATTGAAATTCAATTTCATATGAATAATGAAGTTGAAATTGGAAGGTTAAACCATGAAGTTGGGTTTATAATTATTATTTTAAATCATATTTTTTTTAGCCTGGAATTGTATTAGAACGGTATCTTTCCTAACAAGTTATAGTTTGAGGATGAACTAAGACAGAATTTTGGTGGGCACGTGACACCCGAGTAATGTAAAAGTACATAAATGGACCATAACCACATTTAAATGAGAGCGATTACAAGGACAAGATGAATAAGGAAGATTTTTAACTACCAACAAGGAGTATCTTACTTTTCGATAGTTTAATCATAAGAACTTCAAAATTAAGTGTATTTGAGTTTGAATATTTTTATATTGGGTAGCCTCCTAGAAATTTTTGGAGGAAGCACGTGTATAAGCGGAAACTTTAATAACTAACATATTTCGAATCGTTTGATATGGAAGGAAGATTTTATGGTACAAAAATGGACTGACGCAGACTTATATATAAGAAATTAGATGAAACTAAATTTATAATCTAATATGAAAAAAAAAAAAAGTCTATACAGGGTTACTCACTCTAATATATACTAAAAGTTCCACAATGACACGTCATGACTCATGGCCACATCATCCCACTCCACGTCATCATTTACACAAAAAGACGGAGGAGAAAGAAGAAGTCCTTCCGCCATGTTGGCAAGCAACATTGGCATATTCGACAAAGCCTCATTGTGAATGTTTGATTAATCCACCACACTTAAATGGTGTGAAAGTTATCTTATTTATAATCAAATAAATTACAAGGATATGGAAATAGTAATAAATAGAAATAACAATAAATGGAAAGATACCTATGATAATAAGATATTTGCCTTATAATAAAATATTAAATATAATATATACGGTAAACTATAATTTATTACTAAATATCCTTAACACCCCACCGCAAGCTAAGCGTCGGATTTAAACGAACGTGAAGCTTGAATCTGAAAAATTCAAAGAGGTTGAGAAACACTTTTCATGAAGATGCTAACAACCCGGTTCTTGGCCATCAAAAATTGCAGAGGGATCGCCGCTCAGCGGCGATGCTGCCTTGGCTTCGGCGAGAATATGTCTAACCCATGAAGAGGGATTGTCGCTTAGCGACGATGCTGCCTTGGCTCTGGTGAGAATATTTCTAACCCCAAGAAGTAGAAGGGGAAACCTAGAGCAAGGGACAAAGACAATGTTGAAGCTGGAAGAGTCGCCACATTGGGCGAAGGAGCCAATTTTGGCGAGAAGGGCAGTCGGAAGAGTCGCCTCATCGGGCGAAGAAGCCAATTTTGGCAGGAAGGGAGGCGGCAACTTGGTTGGCGAATAGGCCAGTGCGGCACCCAGATTCCGAAGGTAAATCTCTGCAAAAGGTTGATAGGTTTAGGTTAAGGTTTATGTGAAAGATGAAGGTTGATTGGGAAGAAAATGAGAGAGACTATATTGGCCAAGGGGAAAAACCGATTGGGTTGGAAAAGGTGAGGTTGTATGTGTACAGAGTATGACGAAAGGTGATTTGGAGGTCAATAGGGTGGAGCCGAAGAGTAATCAATCGGCTCCGATTACGACAGCCATGAAGACTGCCCCTGCGGCGTCAAAACCAGCAGGGGTGGTGGAGAAGAAGATTAAAGGATTCAAAAACCATTGAAAAGAAAGGATCAGGTTTGTTAAACCGAAAGGGCTCTGATACCATGTGAATGTTTGATTAATCCACCACACTTAAATGGTGTGAAAGTTATCTTATTTATAATCAAATAAATTACAAGGATATGGAAATAGTAATAAATAGAAATAACAATAAATGGAAAGATACCTATGATAATAAGATATTTGCCTTATAATAAAATATTAAATATAATATATACGGTAAACTATAATTTATTACTAAATATCCTTAACACTCATCGTCGACGTAAACCGGCCGGTCAGGACTGGCCGTGGGTTGACACAAAACGACGTCGTCCTCTTCCCGACACGCACTACATTCCTCATCCTTGCGCTCATTCGCTGCCATCGCTGCTGCCGCTCGGATCACAGACGGGTCATCACTAGCCGGAATCGGAAACCGCCACGCCGAGTCAGCAAAATTGAGACAAGCCGACTTCCCTCTCAACGCGAGGGCAGCCACATCGTGTGCACGCGCCGCCATCTCAGCCGTCAGGTAAGTCCCGAGCCAAATCCTGGTCTTCTTATTCGGCTCCCTCATCTCACAAACCCATTTGTCGTTATTCCGCCGACGTACCCCTCTGTAAACCGGATGCCTCGTCTCTTTAAAAACCCGCCGACCCGCCGGGCGCTTGGGCTGGTTCGACGCCAGTATCACTTCCTCGTCGGAGGTAGCCACCGTGAGCGGATGCGTTCCGGCGTCAAAAAACGCCGACGACGATTCCGAATTGTAATTACAAATACCATAATAAGGAAGAGGATCAGAAAATTGAGGGAATAAATCCATTGGATGGGGTTCTCGATATCGGAGACACTGGAGCTCAGAAGTTTATATAGTTTCGGCTGCAGGGGATTTTAACACGTGGTGCAAAGCAGCGAAATGCACACGCAAAATGCCCACAAAAGGGGGTACAAATAATTTTAAAAAATGGCTTCTTTTATTTATTTTTCTTACACTCAGGAGTTTGACTGTTTGACCCAGTTTTTTTAAATTTTGTTGCTGACGTGCCAGTAAGCTTCGAGCGTGTGAACCACGCATGGATTCTGTGTCCTTTTTTTTTTTTTTTTTTTTT